GTATTTTATTTTTAGTGGAGATGGGGTTTCACCATCTTGGCCAGGCTGGTCTTGAACTCCTGACCTTGTGAGCCACCACACCCAGCTGCTAAACTCTTATTAATAACTTACTCATGTACATAATCATATCATCTGTGAGTCAGTGCAGTTTTGTTTCATTATTTCTATTATTTATACTTAAAGTGTTTATATGATTGTTTTAGTGTGCTGGTTAGGTTTTATTAATATTGCAGCAAACTATTATGTTGTTTGCTGTAAAATTATAATGTTTCCTTTCTGTAGGAAAACTTAGACTATTTCACAGTTAATTATCATGTTTGCTCTTAAGATTTTTGTGGCCGGGCGCGGTGGCTCAAGCCTGTAATGCCAGCACTTTGGGAGGCCGAGGCGGGTGGATCACGAGGTCAAGAGATCGAGACCATCCTGGTCAACACGGTGAAACCCCATCTCTACTAAAAATACAAAAAATTTGCTGGGCATGGTGGCACGTGCCTGTAATCCCAGCTACTCAGGAGGCTGAGGCAGGAGAATTGCCTGAACCCAGGAGGCGGAGGTTGCGGTGAGCCGAGATCGCGCCATTGCACTCCAGCCTGGGTAACAAGAGCAAAACTCCGTCTAAAAAAAAAAAAAAAAAAAGATTTTTGTGGATAACCTCTATCAGACTAAGTGATTTCCCTTTTATTCCCAGTTTTTTATTGTGAATGGATGTTGTTAATGTTTTTTCTGTTGTATCTATTGAAGTTAAGTTGTTAATGTTGTTTTTGCTATTGTATCTAATGTATCTATTGAAATGATTTATGATTTTTTTCCTTGAATCTGTTAATGTGGCATATTGATGGATTTTCTTTTTTTTCTAGTTAATAACAGCTTTGATTTTCTGGAATAACTTCAGTTTGGTCAAGTATTATTTTTATTTAGTGCTGGGTTTGATTTGTGAATATTCTGTTTATGTATATTTCTGTTTGTGAGCTTGATCTATAATTTTTTAATTCTTTTCACAAGGTTTTATTATGAAGGTTTTCTAGTCTAATTAAAATAACATTGAGGAATGTACCCTTGTTTTCTAATTTTTGGAAATAGAACAGCTTGAAATGTTGGTAGAACTTGTCATTAAAGCCATTTGTGCCTGGCATTTTCTTTTTTGGAATTTAAAAAACATTCTTCAATTTCTTTAGTGGCTATGAGGTAGCTTTTATTATTTCTTGAGTCAGTTATATGAATGTTAATTTTTTTCTAAGAATTTTTTTATTTTGCCTAATTTTAAACGTATTGATAGAGACCAGGCACAGTGACTCACACCTGTAATCTCAGCACTCTGGGGGACCGAGGTGGGTAGATCACTTGAGGTTAAGGGTTCACGACCAGCCTGGCCGGCATGGTGAAAAAAACCCACCTCTACTAAAAATACAAAAATTAGCCAGGGTGGTGATATGCACTTGTAATCCCAGCTAGTGGGGAGACTGGCGAGGCAGGAGAATTGCCTGATCACGGGAGGCAGAGGTTGCAGTGAGCTAAGATCACGCCACTGCACTCCAGTCTAGGCAACAGAACAAAAACTCTGTCTCAATCAATCAGTCAATCAATCAATAAATTATAATGTCTGTATTGGTCTTTTGTGCACAAACATGTCAATGATATATAATAGTATTTTTAGTAGAGACGTGGTTTCACTGTGTTGGCCAGGCTGTTCTTGAACTCCTGACCTCATGATCTGTCTGCCTCAGCCTCCCAAAGTGCTGGGATTACAGGCATAAGCCACTACGCCCGGCAGTGACATACAATGGTAAATGTTTATTTCTTACTCTGTGGTTCAGTAAAGTGGTTCGTCCTCGGTCCTTAGGGTTTCTAGAGCAGCTTTATTTGGGCTACAGATTGACTGGGGCAGTTCTGTTTCAATGTGCCTCTTCGCCGGGGTGAGTTTGCTTAGACTGTGTTTCAGCTGGGATGGCTTTGTTACATGTCTTATTCTTGGGACTATACCAGAGGAGCAGTGGGCTGCGTCTGGGTATTCTTCTGACGGAGACAGATGCACAAGAAGACAAACTCAACTGTACATCACATTTCAAGCCTTCTGCTTGCATCACATTCACTGAAATCTCGTTGACCAAAAGCAAACTATATGACCAAACCTAAAGTTAAGGTATGGGGACTATAATATACAGCCCAACCACCCTTAGGCTGTGATGGGAATGTGTATGCTTAATATAACACGATAGTGAATTCAAATCACTTTTTTAGGTGACCTATTTTATTAGTCCTTTGTGAAATATCACAAATGATTTAATGTTACCCACTTTTGTAATTCTTAACAGCCAAAATGTACATGATTTGAATAGTTATTCTTACCTCTGTAATACATGATTTGAATAGTTATTCTTAGCTCTGTAAACCAGTTCTTTTCAGCAATTTTATTCATGTAACTGCTGGATCTGGGGTGAAATTTCAACATATTGAGTAAAATCTAAGGACTTAACCTAAATAGGAAATGTAAGTAGGTATCTGGTATTTTGATCAGTTTGACTTCCAAGTAAGTGATCAGTACTATAAGAAATACTGGCCGGGCGCGGTGGCTCAAGCCTGTGATCCCAGCACTTTGGGAGGCCGAGGCGGGTGGATCACGAGGTCACGAGATCGAGACCATCCTGGTCAACATGGTGAAACCCCGTCTCTACTAAAAATACAAAAAATTAGCTGGGCATGGTGGTGCGTGCCTGTAATCCCAGCTACTCAGGAGGCTGAGACAGGAGAATTGCCTGAACCCAGGAGGCGGAGGTTGCGGTGAGCCGAGATTGCGCCATTGCACTCCAGCCTGGGTAACATGAGTGAAACTCCGTCTCAAAAAAAAAAAAAAAAAAAAAAAGAAATACTTACTATTTTGTTATTCAGTAATTGTCAAAAACCTCCTGAATGAAGCAGTCAAGAGTACCAAAATGTCAGTCCATCAGTAGATGATCCAAAAGAAAAAGGGTCACGTTCTAGCAGTATAATAAAGTGCTTTCAAGCTCTTATATTAATTTTATACTATAATCACACACACACACGCGCGCGCGCGCACACACACACACACACACGTGTACGTTGTTGTTGGTGTTGAGACTGAGTCTCACTCTGCCCAGGCTGGAATGCACAATCTTGGCTCACTTTAACCTCTTCCTCAGCCTCCCAAATAGCCGGGACTACAGGCACGTGCCACCATGCCCAGCTAATTTTTGTATTTTCAGTAGAGACAGGGTTTTGCCATGTTGGCCAGGCTGCTCTCGAACACCTGACCTTAAGTGATCCACCTGCCTCGGTCTCCCAAAGTGCTGAAATTACAGGCATGGGCCACCGTGCCTGGCCAAAAATATGTGTTTTTACCTAGGTTCACCCCAAGATGATTCAAATATGCAGCCAACGTTAAGAACCAGCACTTTATTAGGCCAATGTGAGGAGGAGGAGTTTTAATAAAATTGTATTGCAGTAATTTTCAAACTATCAATATATTCCTTTGAGATGGCTGCTTCCTGAGAGAGGCTAGTAATCTGTCAGACTATCTAACTTGAAAACTCTTTTGAAACTTAAAAACACCTTTAAAATAGCATATGTGAGTTGTGAGGATATAAAGAGAACTTCCTCTGGCAAAAACAAAGAAATTTGAAATTTGAAAGAAATTTGAAATTTAAAAACCAAAGCTGTTTGAATTGACTTTGGAGTCACTCTAAAAGAATTTGCCAATCTGGGTAACATATTGATTAGCTTATATCGCTAAATAAAACACTCTAAAACCTAGTGGCCTAAATAATTATTTAGTTGATAATTCTTTGTTTCAGTAATTTCAGCCGAGCTTAGCTGGGCTGCTGTCATCTTAGCTGGCTCAGATGATCAGTTGATGATCTGGCTAGGAGCTGAGAGTCTAGGATGGCCTCAGCTAGGACAGTTTGTCTCTGTTCCAGATTGTAGATCATCCTTTAGCTGCTAACCTTGGTTTACTCTTAATGACAATAGAGCAGGATTCCTAAAGATAGTTAGGAAAAGAGTGTATAAAGCCACTTGTGAGGCATAGGCTCAGAACTGAGACACTCGTTTCTGCTGGCCAAAGCAAGCTGTAGATTAGGACTTGGATTTAAGACATAGAGAAAGAGATTTCCAATCTTGGGAACAATTGCAACAGTCATACTGCATAAGATGTGAGTATAGGGAGAGGGATAATTTCAGCCACTTTAAAACAATACTTCACAAATTGCAGAGAGGCAGGAGGTAAGATCTAAGACCCGACAGAAGCAAGGGCGAGACCTGGAGGTACCATGTCCTCTCAATAAAACCATTTCATGGAAAGGGTACACAATGAAATAGTGCCCTGCTTACATAAGGAGACTTTTTCTGAGGAGTTGGATAGGTTTACTGAGAGTGGATTGGTAGGTTATCCTTAGCTTCAGTTCTGTGGTTTCTTAGGTTTGCTTTTACTATAGTACCTCCAGAGGAGTGAGTTTTGATGACCACATAAAGAGATCACTTTCCTCAGAAGAAAGGAAACATTGTTTCTGTCATACATAAGTATACCTGTATATAACAACCTTCTGATTGGTACTAGATTACTTCCCATTTCTTAGCCTAAAATTTCTGGGTGATGCCCAAATGGAGGACTTTCATAGACCATAGCTCTGGACTAGAACTTGACAAGGGGAGTAGTGGGGACTTCCTTGGACAAGGTAATTAGATGCTACTCTGGAGCTGAACCATTTATTGTAAGGGATTTCCATATAGACCTGGGCCTTTTAAAATTTAAACATTAGTAGAAATTTTCTGGACTATGCTTGTGTAGCCTGCCTGTGTGATACAGAATTCATTCTATATATTAAAGCTGCTAATGAATATTTTGTACAGAAGCTTTAGAAGTACTAAATTTATTAATTTATTTTTTGAAAAGAAAAATTACCTCTTTTGACATTTTCTCTGCTTTTGTCATTGTAAATTGTTGGAAGATAACATTAAGTCTGAGGTTTTCTATCATTTTACTCTAGGCAGCACACTTCTGCTTTTGTTCCTTCATCAGGACGAATTTACTCTTTTGGGCTTGGTGGTAATGGGCAGCTGGGAACCGGTTCAACAAGCAACAGGAAAAGTCCCTTCACTGTAAAAGGAAATTGGTACCCTTATAATGGGCAATGTCTACCAGATATTGGTAAGTTCTGTTATATTAAAGCTTTCCTTCATGTATTAAAGTTCTTGTTAAAATGTTAGTCTTAAATCATGAAGATTTCTGCAAAAGATTGTTAAGTGAAAACAAATGGAGAACAATGTATGTGATGGTTTGATTTGCTTATATTTACTTGTAAATGCATAAAGAAATTCTGGATAAATAAAAGTTACTTTCAGAGAGTGGGACATATGGGAACTAAGTGATAGCTAGATACCAGTGGGTGGGACTTTTTTTGTTTTCTATTTCAAATTGTGGTAAAATATGCACAACATAAAATTTACAGACTTAACCATTTTTTAAGTTTACAGTTAAGTAGCATTAAGTATATTCACGTTACTATGTAACCAATCTCCAGAACTCTTTTCATCTTGAGGAACTAAAAGGCTGTATGCATTAAACAGCAACTCTTCATTCCCTCCTCCTCCTAGCGCCTGGCAACCACTATTCTGCTTTCTGTCTCTATGGATTTGACTTAACACTAGGCTAGGTACCTCAAAGAAGTGGAATCATATAGTAGTGTCTGTTTTTGTGACTCACTTATTTCACTAAGCATAATGTCCTCAAGGTTCATCTATGTTGTAGCATGTGTTAGAATTTCCTTCCTTTTTAAGCTGTATAATTCAGACATACCTTGGAGATATTGTGGGCTCAGTTCCAGACCACTGTAATGAAGCAAATATTGCCATAAAGCAAATATCATAATAAAGCAAATCACAAAATGTTTGGTATCCTAGTGCATATAAAAGTTACATTTATACTATATTGTAGTTTACTAAGTGTGCAATAATAAAATTGTCTTAAAATACTGTGTTTAGTCTTTAGTTTAAAAATATACTTTATAATTTAGGTTTAAAAATATACTTTATTGCTTAATAATGCTGACACAGAGATGTGAAGTGAGTACATGCTATCGGAAAAATGGTGCTGATAGACTTGTTCTGTGCCGAGTTCCCTGAACCTTCAGTTTGTAAAATTCACAGTATCTGAGAAGCACAGTAAAGTAAAGCACAATGAAATGAGGCAAGCCTGCATTCTTATTATATGGATGTGGTTTGTGGCACCTAAAACAATTACAGTAATAACATCAAAGATCACAGATCACCATAAAAGATATAATAATAATGAGAAATATTGAAATATTATGAGAATTACTAAAGCTTATAAGCTTTACTGAATTTTTGATACTGAATTTCTACAAATTGAAGGTTTTTGGCAACACTGCATTGAGCAAGTCTGTTGGCACCATTTTTCCAACAGCATATATGCTCACTTTGTATCTTTATGTCACATTTTGGTAACTCTTACAATATTTCAAACTTTTATGTTGTTATTATATGTGTAATATGATCGGGATTTGTGATCATTGATTTAATTGTTTTGGGGTGTCATGAACCTTACCTATATAAGACAACAATGTTAATTGATAAATGTGTACGTTCTGACTGCCCCACCAGCTGACCATTCCCATCTGTCTCATCTCCTTGGGACTTCCTGTTCCTTGAGGCACAATGATGTTTAAATTAGGCCAGTTAATAACCCTACAAATGGCCTCTAAGTATATAAGTGAAAGGAAGAGTCACACATCTCTCACTTGAAATCAAAAGCTAGAAGGGATTATGTGTAGTGAAGAAAGCATGTCAAAAGCCGAGACAGGCTGAAAGCAAGGCTTTCTTATGCCAGTTATCCAACTTGTGAATGCAATTTGAAGAAAATTAAAAGTGCTACTCTGGTGAACACATGAATGGTAAGAAAGTGAAAAACAGCCTTATTACTGATATGGAGAAAATTTTAGTAGTCCAAATAGAAAATCAAACCATCCACAACATTTCCTTAAGCCAAAGTCTAATCCAGACCAAGATTCTAACTTTCTTCAAGTCTCTGAAGGCTGAGAGAGATAAGGAAGCTGCAGAAGGAAACTTGAAGCTAGCAGAGATTGGTTCATGAAGTTTAAGGAAAGAAGCCATCTTCATAACATAACAGTACTGATGTAGAAGCTATAGCAAGTTATCTAGCATGTCTAGCTGAGGTAACTGATGAAGGTGGGTACACTAAACAACAGATTTTCAGTGTTGACAATACAGTCTTCTATTGAGAAGAAGATGTCTTCTACAACTTTCTTTGGTAGCTGAGAGAAGTAGTCAATGCCTAGTTTCGAAGGACAGGCTGATTCTTTTAGGGTCTAATGCATCTGGTGACTTTAGGTTGAAGCCAGTGCTCATTTACCATTCTGAAAATGCCAAGGCCCTTAGGAATTATGCTAAATCTATTCTGCCTGTGTTCTATAAATGGAACAACAAAGCCTGGATGACAGCTCATCTGTTTACAGCATGGTATATTGAATATATTAATGTTGGCTTAAGCCCACTATTGAGACCCACTACCCAGTTAATAGACTGCTTTCAAAATATTGCTGCTTGTTGACAATGCACCTGGTCACATCAAAGATCTGATGGAGATATACGTGGAGATTTCTGCTTTTAAGGCCTGCTAATACAACATCCATTCTGCTGCCCAAGGATCAAGGAGTAATTTTGACTTTCAAGTTTTATTATTTAAGAAATACATTTTGTAAGGCTGTTGTTGCCATGTATGGTGATTCCTCTAATGGTTCTGGGCAAAGTAAATTGAAAACCCTTAAAGGATTCACCATTCCAGTTACTGTTAACATTTGTGAAGTGAGAAATTACTTGAAGCCAGCAGTTTGAGACCACCCTGGGCAACATAGTGAGACACTGTCTCTATAAAAAATAATTTTAAAAAGCCAGGTGTGGTGATACATGCTACTTGGGAGGCTTAGGTAGGAGGATTGCCTGAGCTCAGGAGTTGAAGGTTTAGAGTAAGTTATGATCGTGCTAATGCACTCCAGCCTGGGCAACAGAGTGAGACCCTGTCTCTGATTTGTGGGAGGAAGTCAAAATGTCAACAATAACAGGAGTTTGGAAGAATTTTGTTCCAAACCTCATGGATGAGTGAGGGGTTCAAGACTTCATTCAAAGAACTTAACTATAGATATGGTGGAAATAACAAGAGAACTAGAATTAGAGCTAAAGCCTGAAGATGTGACCAAATTGCTGCAATCTTACAATGAAAAATATTCCTTATCCAGTCCAAGACATCAAAGCTCTGCAGAAAGAACTCAAGAAATTTGCCAAGCTCCTGAAGCAGAAGAGGATCACCCTGGATATACACAGGCCGATGTGGGGCTCACCCTGTGGGTTCTGTTTGGGAAGGTGTTCAGCCAATGACCATCTGATACTTTGAGGCTCTGCAGCTTAGCTTAGAGCATATATAAGCTGTGGCCCTTGCTGCAGAAGTGGATGGAAGAAGCTGACAACAGTGAAAATCTTCAGGAGATATGCAAAGCAGAAAAACTCATGCAGTCCCAAAAGAGAAAGTGAAGCAGTATTGAAAACGAAGTAAGAGGCAACCTGGAGAATTTGTTCCTGCAGTACCCAAAGCCCACGCTGTAGCAGATCAGCCACATCGCCCAGCACTTGGGCTCGAGAAGGATGTGATCTGAGTGTGGTTCTGTAATGGGTGCCAGAGGGCAAGCGATCAAGCAGTGACTACACAATGAGAGAATTTTGAGGCTACTAGGTCTCTTTTCTCAGGGGGACCAGTGTCCTTTCCTCTGGCCCCAAGGCCCCATTTTGGTATCCCAGGCTATGGGAGCCCTCACTTCACTGCACTGTACTGCTTGGTCCCTTTCCCCCTGTTTCCATCACCACTCTGGGCTCTCCCATGCATTCAAACTGAGGTGCCTGCCCTTCTAGGAATGGGGGGTGGGAAGAAAGGAGAAGCTAGGGAAAGAGAACCTAAAGTTTGTGCCAGGGCTTTTGAGATTAAGTTCTTCATTCACTAAGGAAGGAGTTGGGAACACAAAGGGCGGGGGCAGGGGAGTTTGGGGCAACTGGTTGGAGGGAAGGTGAAGTTTAGTGATGTTCTTGATTTTAATCCCCATATCATGTATCACTTTTTTCTTAAATAAAGGAGCCTAGAACACATTAGAGAAGAAAAAAAAAAAGAAAAAGAAAAATACTCCTCATCCATTCATGTTTTATGGATGAGCAAAGAAGGTGTTTTCTTGAGATGGAATCTACTGCTGGTGAAGATGCTATGAACATTATAGAGATGACAAGAAAGTATTTAGACTATTTCATAAACTTAGTTGACAAAGCAGCAGCCAGGGTTGAGAGGGTTGTCTCTACTTTTGAAAGCAGTTCTGTGGGTAAAATGCTATCACACAGCCTCTCCTGGTATAGGGAAATATTTTATGAAAAGAAGAGTTAATCAATGTAGCAAACTTTGTCACTGTCTTATTTTAAGAAATTGCCACATCTACCCCAGCCTTCAGCAATCACCACCCTGATCAGTCAGTAGCCTGACATTGAGGCGAGATCCTCCATCAACAAAAGATTAAGACTCATGAAGGCTCAAATGATCGTTAGTATTTTTTAGCAATAAGTGACTTTCAGGTATATACTTTTTTTTTTTTTTTTTTTTTAAGATATAATACTATTGCACACTTAGTGGACTAGAGTATATTGGGCCAGGCACAGTGGCTTATGGCAGTAATCCCCGTGCTTTGGGAAGCCAAGACAAGAGAATCACTTGAGGCCAGGAGTTTGGAACAGCTGGGGCTACATAGTGAGACTCTCATCTCTATAAAAGGAAAAAAAAAAAGCTCAACTCTATCAATGGACTACAGTATTGTATAAACTTTTTTTTTAATTTTTTTTTATTTTTTATTTTTTGAGACAGTCTTGCTCTGTCACCCAGGCTGGACATGCAGTGGTACAGTCAGTTTACTGCAACCTTCACCTCCTAAGTTCAAATGATTCTCCTGGCTTAGCCACCTTAGTAGCTAGTATTTCATGTGCCCACCACCACACGTGGCTCATTTTTTTTAGTATTTTTAGTAGAGACAGGGTTTCAACATGTTGGTCAGGCTGGTCTCAAACTCCTGGCCTCATGTGATCTGCCCACCTTGGCTTCTTAAAGTTCTAGGATGATAGGCATGAACCACTGTGCCCAGCCTAGTGTAAACATACTTTTACATGTACTATGAAACCAAAAATTTGTGTGACTTGCATTGTGATATTTGCTGTATTGCAGTTGTCTGGAACCAAACCCTAAATATCTTTGAGGTATGCATATGCCACATTTTGTTTATTCATATGTCAGTGGACAATTGCGTTGTTTCTACCTTTTGGCTATTGTGAATAATGCTGCTATGGATACAGGTTTACAAGTATCTCTTTGAGATTCTGCTTTCAGTTCTTTTGGGTATATACAGGATTGTTAATTATTTTCTATTCTTTAAAAATTGGAACTCTTTGAGTCTATTGCTTATTAAAAATATAAAAAAATTTTGACCCAGAAATGGACTCAGCACATAAGGACCATTTTCCACATCCATATGATTACATCCCAACCAGCCATCAGCACCCATTCTCCTGCCTGCTAAACTATCCTTGGAAAAACCCTAGCTTTCAAATTTCTGGGGAGACTGATTTGAGTAATAAAACTCAAGTCTCCTATTTAAAAACACCAAAAAATTTTTTGTCTAGAAGGGAAGCTACTGCCCTGAAAACAAAGGCACAGGCCTAACAGGATTCATCACCTGCTGACTAAAGAGCCCTTGGGCTTTGAATAAACATGAACAATAGGCAGGAATTAGTTGCCGCATGCCTTGGGTGAGACCTAGTACTACTGTAAGGTGTAACCCAGCACAGTCTCAGCAGTGGTGGCCATGGGAGTGCTTGCGTCACCTCTCTCCAAACTCTTAAGAATCTCTGTACAGAGAGAGAGACTTCATTTGTTTAGGGGAGAGTAAGGGAGGAGAACAAGAGACTCTGCTTTCTCCCATATCTTACCCGAGTTCACCAAGGTAGTACCTCTATGACTTGGCAAGAGTCACAGTTTTGCTGGGCATGGTGATATGTGCATGTAGTTCCACCCACTTTGGAGGCTGATGCAGGAGGATCACTTGGGCTCAGGAGCTCTGGGCTATAATGTGCTGTGCGGATTGGGTATCTGCACTAAGTTCAACATTGATATGGTGACTTCTTAGGAGTTGGGGGCCACCAGGTGGCCCAGGTTGGAAATGGAGCAGGTCAGAACTCCTGTGCTGATCATTAGTAGGATTATGTGTGTGAATAGCCACTGTACTCCAGCCTGGGCAACCATAGTGAGACCCTGTCACTTAAAAAAAAAAAAAAAAGAAAAGGCCAGGCGTGGTGGTTCATGCCTGTAATCCCAGCACTTTGGGAGGCTGAGGCAGGCGGATCACCTGAGGTCAGGAGTTTGAGACCAGCCTGGCCAACATGGTGAAACCTCATCTCTACTAAAAATACAAAAATTAGCAGGGTATGGTGATGTGCTTCTGTAATCTCAGCTACTCGGGAGGCTGAGGCAAGAGAATTGATGGAATCTGGGAGGCAGAAGCTGCAGTCGTGAGCCAAGATTACGCCACTGCACTCCACCCTGAGTGACAGAACAAGACTCTGTCTCAAAAAAAAAAAAATAGCGTTACTGGGCTTGGAGTGGCCCCTATTGTAGATGGCTGCAGTGACTAAACACTTGAGATCATTACACTCAATTCCTTTTGAATACTTGGAAAGCCTTCCCAAGAAGTTCAGTTACAAACAAGCACAGACTGCAAAGATTAGAATTAATACCCGACTTTTCAGTGCTTAGACATGATGAAAATTTGGAAGCATCAAGACCATCCAGGAAAACATGACCTCACCAAACAAATGAAATAAGGCACTGGTGACCAGACATGAAGAGACAAAGCTACATGATGTTTCAGAGATTCAAAACAACCATTTTGAGGAATCGCAATGAAACTGAAAATAGAGGTGCAGAATCCTGTCAGATAAATTTAACAAAAGAGATTGAAACAATGGTAAAATATCAAAGAGAAATTCTGGACTTCAAAATTCAGTTGACAACCTGGAGAATGCATCAGAGGCTCTCAACAGAATTGATCAAGCAGAAGAAAGAATTAGTGAGGATGAAGACAAACTATATGAAAGTGTATAGAGCTAACAAAAGAAAAAAGTGAAATACTCTCACAGCATCTGGAAAATAGCGTCAAAAGGGCAAATCTAAGGATTACTGGCCTTAAAGAGGATGTAGAAGGAGAGATAGAGATACAAAGTTTTTCAAAGAGCTAATAACAAAGACCTTTTCAATCCTAAGGAAAAATACCAATATTCAACTGCAAGGTTATAGAACACCAAGTGTATTTAACCCAAATAAGACTACCTCAAGACATTTGATAATCAGACTTTCAAAGGTCAGGGATAAAGAAAGGATTTCAAAAGCAGCAAGAGAAAACAAACAACATACAATAGGGCTCTGGTACATCTGACAGCAGACTTCTCAGTGGAAACCTTACAGATTAGGAGAGAATGGCATGACATACTTAAAGTGCTAAAGGAAAATAACATTTAGCCTAGAATATTATATCTAGTGAAAATATCCTTCAGGTGTGAAGGAGAATTAAACACTTTCCCAAACAAACAAAAGCTGAGGGGCAGCCAGGTGCGGTGCGGTGGCTCATGCCTGTAATCCCAGCGCTTTGGGAGGCTGAGGCGGGTGGATCACCTGAGGTCAGGAGTTCAAGACCAGCCTGACCAACGTGGTGAAACCCCATCTCCACTAAAAATACAAAAAAAAAATATTAGCTGGGTATGGTGGCAGTCTTTTGTAATCCCAGCTGCTCTGGAGGCTGAGGCAGGAGAATCACTTGAACCTGGGAGGCCGAGGTTGCAGTGAGCCAAGATCGTACCATTGCACTCCAGCCTGGGCAACAAGAGGGAAACTCCATCTTTAAAAAAAAAAAAAAAAAATTTGCTGAGGGGTTTTATCAACAGCAGACCTGTCCTATAAGAAAATGCTAAAGGGAGTTTTTCATTCCAAAGGAAAAGGACATTAATGAACAATAACAAATCATCTGAAGGTACAAAACTCACTGGTAATAGTAAGTACACAGACAAATACAAAATATTACAACATGAATTGTGTTGTACAAACTACTCATCTTGCGTAAGAAGACTAAAATATGAACAGATAAAAAATAACTATAGCAACTTATAAAGACATACAGTATAATAAGATAGAAATAACAGAGAGCAGGGGAAAAGAAGATAGTGTAAAGTTTTTTTTAATCAGTTTTCTCTTTGCTTATTTGTTTTTGCAAAAGAAACGTTGTTTGTTGCCCTTATTCCTAATAAACTTATTAATATATACATTTTTGGGCCTAATTTGGTTTTTTACTGACAAATAGCTGCCAACAAACAGCTGTATGTATTATCTTGTATACTTACATTGAAAAAAAAATAGTTTTGTATTACGAAATATTTACTCAAGAAGTTTTCATTGTTGTTTGTTATTTCTTTTTAAGAATATATATATTTTTAAGAGATAGGTCTTGCTATGTTGCCCTTGCTGGAATGCAGTGGCTGTTCACAGATGTAATCATAGCATACTGCAGCTTTGAACTTGGCTCAAGCCATCTTCCTACCTCAGCCTCCCAAGTAGCTGGGACTACAGGTATGTGCCACTGTAGCCCAGTTCAAAAATAAATACTTTTTTTTGTTGTTGAGTTGGAGTCTTACTCTCTGGTACAGGCTGGAGTGCAGTGGCATGATCTTAGCCCACTGCAACCTCTGCCTCCTGAGTTCAAATGATTCTCCTGTCTCACCCTCACGAGTACCTGGGATTACAGGCATACACTACCATGCCTGGCTAATTTTTGTATTTTTAGTAGAAATGGGGTTTCACTATGTTAGCCAGGCTGGTCTCGAACTCCTGACCTCAAGTGATCCTCCTGCTTTGGCCTCCCAAAGAGCTGGGATTACAGGCATGAGCCATTGTGCCCCGCCAAAAATAAATATTCTTAATTTTTATTTTCTTCTAGCTATCATTTGTAGCTTTCATTATATTTTTTTTTTTAATCATTTTTGGTTTAAAATGAAATATACTGAGATGCGAATTAGAAAATGCTTTTTTTTTTTTTTTGGTGCAGGGCAGAAGAAAGGCTTGTAAACTTCACCAAATGCTGCTTACGCTTGTGGGATTGTTTAATGTTCATCATTTGGTCAGTCTCATCCCCATAGCAGTCAGAATATTTCAGGTCACTTTATATCATGGAGTCCGTGAATGGGAGGCCTTATTAAATTAGATGAATATGTGAAAATCTAATGGCATATTTAATATTTTGGAATATATAAATCTTGGCTTTTAATTTTTTACATTTTTGTTACAGATTCTGAAGAATATTTCTGTGTAAAAAGAATTTTCTCAGGGGGAGATCAAAGCTTTTCACATTACTCTAGTCCCCAGGTAATAATATAATCATGTAGATACTTAGTTCCAATAATTTTGACAAATTTAAAAAACCCATAATTAATGTTCTTTATATGTTACAAAGTAATTGCCCTAGTTTTTTCCCCTCAAGTCTACAGAATAAATTTTTCTGATCTATTAGATAGGTTTTTGTTTCAGGTGTTCAGTAATTCTGTTTAAAACACAAATACATAATGGGGTTTTTGAGTTGTATATAATATCTCTTCCCTCTGACTAATCTTATTTGAAAATTTAGAACTGTGGGCCACCAGATGACTTCAGATATCCTGATCCTACAAAGCAGATCTGGACAGTGAATGAAGCTCTAATTCAGAAATGGCTGAGCTATCCTTCTGGAAGGTTTCCTGTGGAGATAGCCAAGTAAGAAAAGCATTTTGGGCCAGGCATAGTTGGCTAATGCCTGTAATCCCAGCACTTTGGGAGGCCGAGGCAGGCAGATTTCCTGAGACCAGAAATTGGAGACCAGCCTGGACAATGTGGTGAAACCCCATCTCTTCAAAAAAAATACAAGTAGCTATGTGTGGTGGCACACTTGTGGTCTCAGCTATTTGGGAGGCTGACGTGGGAGGATCACCTGATCCTGGGAGGTCAAGGCTGCAGTGAGCTGAGATTACACCATCGCACTGTAGCTTGGGCAACAAAGTGAGAACTTGTCTCCCAAAAAAATCCATTATAATAGATATTTTTAAAGATCTTAATTAAATATGCATAAGTTATAGTTCTTTCATGTACATAGAGATATGTTAAATGATAACATAAAATATTAAATGTAGCCATTTTAGGATTGGCCTTGAAATGTCTTCTTTCTAGTTTCATAATGGTCAGTATCTTAACTTTTAGACTTTTTGAAAGACTTTAATATTATTTGTTTCTTGAATATTTTGTTAACTTGTCTAGTAGTACTTAAAATTTTGTTATTTGGTTTTTGTTGGTATTTGGGATGACGGGTTGTATTTGAAAGCTGTTTTGTTTTTCTAGATTGTTTTCCAAAACTATACTTTTTCTGAAAATCCCAAAGACACCCCCAATTAGACTCACTGCCAATATGGAATCAAAAAAAATTTTTTAAATTAAAAAAACTGTTTTTATCTGAATATACACACTTAATTTTTGAAATTCTATGTTTTAAAGTAGATAATTCGTTTGATAAAGCAATTAAAGTAATATTTGGGAAAGTCTATTGTAAACAGTAATACCTTTATCAAGTATTATTTTATCAGTCTTTAGCAATTTATATAATTCTGATTCATCTAATTGGGTGTTAGACGAGTGCTCTGTAACTTTAAATATTAGATTCATATTCATTTAATTCTTTTTTAAGAAAGGGTGAACAATTAAATTCCTAATTCTGTGATTTAAAAAATTTTTAATTTTTTAGTGAGATAGATGGAACATTTTCTTCCTCTGGTTGCCTAAATGGAAGTTTTTTAGCTGTTAGGTAAGTGGCAATTCTTTAATATGCTGAAATTTTCAAATTTGTTGTATTAAATAGTATATCAAATTTTAAAACGAAGTAATTTTAAAGTTTTATTCTATTGTTTTTTTATTCTTTCTTTTCTGTTTTTTAGCAATGATGATCACTATAGAACAGGTACCAAATTTTCAGGGGTTGATATGAATGCTGCTAGGCTTTTATTCCACAAACTTATACAACCTGATCATCCGCAGATATCTCAGCAGGTCTGTTTTTAAAGTATTATATTTACATTATTATCTGTTGATTTGTTGTTGTTGTCGTTCTGTGTTATATGTTTATAGCCTAATTTACTTTGCAGTTTCACAGACTCTTATGTTGTGCTTTTAAAATAAGATTTCATTTTAAAGCATTTGTAATTTAGCTGTCAAAGATCTATAAATCTTTTCAGATGTTTGAAGCAGACCCTGAATTACTTAACATTACCATGTTGCCTCAGTTTGTGTATAGTTGTAGAGGTAGAGATTTTAAATTGAGACTTGTACAACAGGTGATTTTTTAAATTCTCCAAGCAATGCTTAGGCATTAATTTTCATTGTGCTGTAAAGTATATTCATCATAAGACTTTGTCTTTCTTTTTTCTTCTTCACCATTTCGTGTTTGCTGTAGTGCAAAATTTTCCTTTTCTTTCTTTTCTTCCTGCTTTCCTTTTTTTTTTTTTTTTTTTTTTTTGAAAGTGTATTCATTTTAAATGAAGTAGGTTTTACTTTTTGTCAAAATATAGGTGGCAGCTAGTTTGGAAAAGAATCTTATTCCTAAACTGACTAGCTCCTTACCTGATGTTGAAGCATTGAGGTTTTATCTTACTCTACCAGAATGTCCCCTGATGAGTGATTCCAACAATTTCACAACAATAGCAATTCCCTTTGGTACAGCTCTTGTGAACCTAGAAAAGGCACCACTGAAAGTACTTGGTAAGAATCCTAATTTTTTTTCTTTTGAAACCTTTTATCTTTAAATGAAAATGCTCATAAGTTCTTTTGCTATTTCCAGTTCTCCTCCCTGCTTATTTGACATTGTCTTAGGGAAAAATGAATCTGTTTTAACTTTTCTTGTTTTTGTCTAGTCATTTGATTCTAGTTGGAGTTGTTGAAAGAAAAGCATGTTAGATATAGAAGTTTAATCAAACATAACAGCAGAGACAATATTAAGAAAGTCAAAAACTGTTACCCATATTCCTTTCCCTCATTGCCTTTAGTATAATCTTGCTATTAAAGAAGTAAAGGAGGAGGAACAATTAAAACTGAACAAACATGGGTTTTAAGTCTCCTTTGAACCCTGATATAAGCCCTCTAACTTGTGTTTCCTTCGCTTGCTGATTTCATGATATTCGATTTTATTTTTCTTTGTATAGACTAGATTTTGTTGCTCATCTGATCTTGCACTTCTATCTCTTACCACTCTGGTTTTTTGGCCTAAACTTTTCTCACTTTAATTTTTCTATTTGTCTAGATTTTATCTCTATCTCCTGGTCTTTATAATTTTTTTGCTAACCTAGTCCTTTTCTTTCTAATAGTATTTGTTAGGTATGTGGAGCTGAGATATATAGAATATCAGTACAAAACTTTAAGGCTGAGGGTAAATGGAGGAAGCAACAAGCAAGAGGTAGAATATGGGAATCTGAGGAAATATCCAGTAATAAAAGTCAGGCAGGGACTGACAAGAGTATTTCTTCCCTGTTGTCAGAAATTATTGTATTCTTTCTGCCTGCTTCATAGGATTGAAGTGTTTGTACTTAGTAACTACAAATAGTGAATGTGGGGAAGGACCCGTATGTTACACTTTACATTGTTCAGCTTCTGTATTTGATCTTCAGGAGTACCTTGCATATTAAAGGTAGTGGTTCACAATATTTTAACCATATATTAAACTGAAAGATAAAACTTAGAACTAGTATTAGAACAATACAATTTAAAGGATGTTTTGCTTGAAAATTGAAACAGTAATTTTCAAAACTTTTAATAACTGGTTTTAATATTAGGTATGGTGGTGAGTTTTTAATATAATTTAGAAAACCAAGAATATAAATTCAACAGGACTTTCATAGGTTATTTTTGCTTTCGAGAGCTTTTAGGACAATATTGTTTAACTTGGCTGGGGTGGGTATAAACCATAGAAATGTTACATAAAATACTGTGTTATATGCATCTTTCTGGGGTTTTCTAAGGGTTAACAACTGCTTCAAAAAAAAAGTCCATATGATTTTGAAAGTTGTGATTTTTCTTAACTTCATTTTATTTGCGTGTTCACTTTTTAATAACAGAAAACTGGTGGTCAGTACTTGAGCCTCCACTATTCCTCAAGATAGTAGAACTTTTTAAGGAAGTTGTGGTACATCTTTTGAAACTCTACAAGATCGGTATTCCCCCTTCTGAAAGAAGAATTTTCAACAGTTTTCTTCATACTGCATTAAAGGTTTTAGAAATACTACATAGGGTATGTCCAATAGTTCCTTTATTTTCCTCTTTTCCCATTCCTATTAACAGATTGATAATGTTCATTTTAGCATTAATCTATTAAAGATTTAGATTGGCAAAAACAATAATGTATATTATAAAAATTTGGAAAAGTTATCTATACTTTACCTTAAAAGAAGTAACTTGTACTTTGCAGCTTTGGTCTTACCTGACTTTGTTAGGCATATATGGATAACTTGTCTATAGTTGGGCAGAACAGTAACATACTAATGAGTTAGAATTCTCCTTATATTTCTTTATCAAGAATATAATTTGTTAGGTTGCATTATATGTTTTTGTTAGCTGTAAGTGGTTATCACATGAAAGAGATTCGGTCCTAGTTGTAATTATGAACATTTAAACTCGTGTTCTTTTGATATAGTGTACTAATGGCCTCAATTAAAGTAGAACATTTCATTTGAAACAAATGAGTAATTTAAAATTGGAACCATATGTAATTCATTAATTTGCCTATCGTTCTTCCCTGCCCTTCTTCCCAGTTTTAAAAATAGTACCCTTTACACTTGTAGTAGTTCAAAGTTATTTGAAGAAGTAGACTCTGAGCTGTTTCATTAAAGATGGATTTCATCCCTGACAGTTGGTAGGTATATCTCTGTTATGCCATTTGGTTTTCTTAAGTTGCTATTTAGATGAGACATGACCTAAAGGAGAAACATATATGTCTAGCCTATGGACTGACTAAAAAACCCACATGAACCTTTAATCTTTAGTTTCTTCTCTTTAACTTCTTTGTATTTTCAGACCCTTGCCTAGTACTAAGGTAAATAATAAAGGAATAAAGGAGATAATCCATCTGAACATTTCCCAACCACTTATTTTCCTATTTTAGTTCCTGGGTATTTTTCTCAACTGCTTGACTTTATGGACTTACTTTTTTCTCTTGTATTTAGTATGTCCAAGATTCCTAGAAAAACAACTCATTTTTCCTCATTTTGATTGACAAAATCATCATAGCCATATATTTCCTAGGGAAACAGGTTATTTTATTTATTTTACTTTATTTTGAGATGGAGTCTTACTCTGTTGCCAGGCTGTAGTGCAATGTTGCTGTCTCAGCTCACTGTAGCCTCCGCCTCCCGGGTTCAAGTGATTCTCCTGCCTCAGCCTCCTGAGTAGCTGGGACTACAGGCATGTACCACCATGCCCAGCTACGGGGTTTCACCATGTTGGCCGGGATGGTCTCAATTTCTTGACCTCGTGATCTGTGTGCCTTAGCCTCCCAAAGTGCAGGGATTACAGGCGTGAGCCACCACGACCAGCCAGAAACAGATCATTCTTATGTTTGCCTTTACCCACAACAAGGTTTTCTTTTAGCATATCAGGGTCCAGGTCTGCAGTAAACTGCTAATAAGAAGATTCTCTAACTTCATGGGATGGGTCTCTACTTTTCTGTGTACTTATTGGGATTAGAGAGATTAGTTTTTTTCTTTTCTCTGGACTTCTTACTACTTTGGTGAACCATCCCTTTTCAGCTGGACTCTATTATCAAATAATTACTCATTCTTTGCTTTCATTATCTGCTTGTCTTTAGTCCCCCTTTAAAAAGTACTTTTTTTCTTAGCTGTGTCTTTTACCTCAAGAAAATGGAGTGGGAAGAGAAGGGGAGAAAATTGAACATTTTGTTTTTCAAACTACAGGCAGGACTGAAGTAAGTTAAATAACCTACCTAGCTCAGTAACTACAGTCTTAGGAAGAACTTCGAGTTTCATCTGCAGAGACCTTTTTGATGGACTCATTCTAAATATACTAGAATCTTCACATCTTGTTAGTTGAAGTGGAAGGGAAAATAACATTTATTGCTTGCTAACCACAGCTAGGACTAGAACCTCCTTTGTATGTAGGCCATGTGAATAATTTTTAGATACATTTAACTTAAAACCCTAAATAGTTGGTATTTTGTTCCTTTTTATAGACTGGAAAAATGAATGTCCACATCAAAGTAAGTAGTAGAGTTGAAATACGAGTATCAATCTTCTACAAAGTCCCTGCTGTTTATAGTGTTCTTACATTAGCAGATGTAGTAGTATTATCTGTTTAGAAGGGGGATTGATTTTCTTTTATGCCCCTAGATATAGAAGTTTATATTCTAGATCACTTGTAGTATTACATTATAGGCCCTGGACTAGGAATCAAAAAGACCATATTTCTAACCCGGCTGTGTTGCTTCCTGCCACTGAGATTTTGAAGAAGTCTCTTTATCCCATATGCAAATGAAGAATTATCTCTAAAACATAGATTAAAATACCAGCCCTGATAGTTTTCCAAAATTTATATATTGTTTAAATTATACAGTATGGGCCAGACACAATGGCTTATGCCTGTAATCCCAGCACTTTGGGTGGCAAGGTGGGCGGATTACTTGTGGTCAGGAGTTCGGGACCAACCTGGCCAACATGGTGAAACCCCATCTCTATAAAAAATACAAAAAAAATTAGCCAGGCATGGTGTTGGATGCCTGCAATTCCAACTACTCGGGAGGCTGAGGTAGGAGAATTGTTTGAACCCAGGAGGCAGAGGTTGCAGTGAACCAAGATCACACCACTGCACTCCAGCCTGAGTGAAAGAGCAAGACTCCGCCTCAAAAAAATAAATAATACAATATATGTAAGTTATACATTCATAAGGCAGTGATTTTGTTACCACCACCACTTGGGTGGAAAACCACTACTTTTTATATGAAGAAATTACTGTGTTATGAGGAAACTGGGTTCTTCTTTGAAGTAGTTACATAGTCAAAAGCAGGATGATACTGGTATGACTTTCTTAAACATCTCTTTCTGGGAGGAGGCTTTAGAGCAGTGAGTTACCTTTCTTCTACCCCTTAGAGGAAATTTTGCTTCATCCTACTCTACCATAAATAGATATCTGGATATGAACTATGAGGGATGATTTATTTGTATCATTCAAGGAACCTGTTACTACGAAAACTTGTTTATTCAAAGACTCCTTGTATCTGACAACTGTATATTCCTTCCCTCTGTTCTGTTGTTAAAAGTTAAGGTGAATTTCCTCAGTTTCCTTCTTTATCTAACCCTGGAGCAGGATTATGAACTAGAGAACTTGACTTTGTGTTCCTTATTTATTTCAGGATTTATGGATACACTGGTTTCTCCCATATGTCATGTCCTTTGGAAAGTTTTTGTATTAAAAATCATTTTCAGTGCTCCAAATGGCATCATAGGAAAATACCTTGGTATGTGCTGTCAGGAATGGATGTATTGTCAGCTAAATGAGTTTACTGGCAAATAATTGAGTTATTTAGTAGTTTCTGAGTTCCATGTAGTACATTATAGACATGTTGGTATGCCAAAAGAAAAGCCTTACCTGGTCTGTCTAGCCTAGTTGCTACATATTTGTGTTGATCTAAATCAGTGAATTTTCAAATTATTTTATGCAGAACCCTTAAATAAACCAAACAGATACATACTCACCATAACCACCCTTGAACTGAGGTGTTTAAGCAAGGATACTAAACTTTAATTAAAATGTGAAATAAAAGTATTATACTCACACTTATATAGATTTTATTTTGTACATTTAGGCAATAATCCTAAACGTATAGATTGTTTTGAACTTCTACCATGTGACTTCCTTTTTAAATTCATTTTGGAAATATTGAGTGCCTACTATGTGCTTATTATTATATTAGATATTAGGGATGCAGTGATAAAAGATATGATTTCTGCCCTTGTTGAGCTTACAGTGTTGAGAGATTGTATAAACTTTTTGGTCTTTATGTTATAGCATGGTAAGTACTAGATTAGGAAAAATGCAGAGTGCTATGAGAACACTTGGGTGGGCATGTAACTATGAAGGACTATGGAAAACCTCCTGGAGAAAATGATGGCTTGTTGAACCTTCTCTACCACTGCAAGTATATTATTTTTATTCTAACATTAACGTGTCTTTTCAAAAATGTACATATCATATAAGCAAGATATACAAACTGCAAACACTAGTTGTATTTCTTTAATTTTTTTTAATTCTTAATTTTTGGGGGTACATTGTAGGTGTATCTTTATGGGATACATGAGATGTTTTGATACAGGCATGCAATGTGTAATAATGACATTATGGAAAATGGAATATCTACCCCCTTAAGCATTTCTCCTTTGTGTTACAATCTAATTATAGTCTTTTAGTTATTTTTAGATGTACAATTAAATTATTATTGACCATAGTCACTTTGTTGTGCTATTAAATAGCAAGTCTAGTCATGCATGGTGGTTCACACCTGTAACCCCAGCACTTTGGGAGGCTGCGGCCAGTGGATCAGCTGAGGTCAGGAGTTTAAGACCAGGCTGGCCAACATGGCAAAACCCTGTCTCTACTAAAAATTACAAAATTAGCTGGACATCGTGGCACATGCCTGTAATACCAGCTATTCAGAAGGCTAAGGCAGGAGAATTGCTTGAACCCAGGAGGTAGAGGTTGCATTCAGTCAAAATTGTGCCATTGTACTCCAGCCTGGGCAACAGAGTAAGACTCTGTCTCCAAAAAAAAAAACCTAGGTCTTATTCTATTTTTTTTTTTTTTTCATGCCTATTAACCATCCCAACTTCACCCCTGCCTTCCCACTACCCTTCCCAGCTTCTGGTAATAATTTTTCTACTCTGTGTCTCCATTAGATAAATTGTTTTGATTTTTAGATCCTACAAATAAGTAAAAACATGCTATGTTTGTTTCTGTGCCTGGCTTATTTCACTTAATGTAATGTCCTCCTGCAGTTCTATCCATATTGTTACACATGACAGGAATGTCATTCTTTTTTCTTCTTCTTCTTCTTCTTTTTTTTTTTTTTTTTTTTTTTTTTGAGATAAGAGTCTTGCTCTATCACCCAATCTGAGTGCATTGGCGTCATCTTGGCTCACTGCAGCCTCCACTTCCCAGGTTCAAGCAGTTCTCTGCCACAGCCTTTCGAGTAGTTGGGACTACAGGCATCTGCCATCACACCTAACT